GGACAGGAGAACAATGGATGTTGATGATAAGTCGTATTTGTGTCGATGTTGTTGTTTTAAAATACTCCATTTTTGTTGTTGTTTTCATTATTTTATTACCTACGAATCGTATTAGAGTAGGAATCGGGAGTACGGATTAAAAGAATAAATGTATAAAACTAAAGAAGAACTGGTCTGAACCGGAAGTGACCAGCACGTCGCCGGTCCACTCTCTCTCCCTATTGACTCGTTCATTCATTCTTTTATTACTCACTTGCTCGTCACACGCCAACCTACTCACGCCCTCCGCTCGCTCCGCTCCCCTCCCCCTCCCCTCCTTACCTATCCCCGCTCCCCGCTCCCCCCCTTACCTCTCACCTCTCCCTGCTTCCCTCCTTACCTCTGCCCTCTCCCTCTCCCTCTCCCTCTCCCTCTCCCTCTCCCTCTCCCTCTCCCTCTCCCTCTCCCTCTCCCTCTCCCTCTCCCTCCCCTCCCCCTCTCCCTCTACCCTACTTATCTCTGTCGCACTCTCCCTTTTATCTTTCCCTTCCCTCTAGTTCTCCTTCCTTGTCCTTTGTTCCCTTCCCTGTCTCTCCCTTCTCTCCTCCATCTTCTCATTCCCGCCCTCCACTCTCACAGCCCCTCCCTCATCCTCGCCCCTTTTTTCTATGCCTAACCCATTACCTTTCTCCCCCACCCCTCCCCCGGCGCGCAATGGTCACCGGAAGTGGGTTACCGTTATTGCTATTAAAGGGTGTACTGGCTGGGGATGCGTTGTACCTAGATTTATTGTTGTAGTTGATGGTGATGGTGTTTTTTTGTATTACCATTGTTATTGGCATTATTACTGTCATAGTCCGGCATTATTATTATCATCATCATCGTCATTATTATTATTCTTTTTTCGATGTTTACGGTATATGGATATGGGGCATTGACACCCTAGTGAATGTTAAGGCCTGTTATGTATTACCTCATTCATTAAACGTGGTGACAAGTGACTAGTCAGTTTGACAGGTGCGTAAGTTACGTTACAGGTGTGCACAAAGAGGCAGTTTGTTTTCGTTGGGCAGGTGTATGGTACCAGACCAGATTAGAAGCACTTACATTTATGTTTGGCAGGTGTTAGAAAGGGGGAGATAATGGAAGAATTTAGAATTTGTTTTTCTTTTCTTTTTTTTTAATGGTTTACTTATTTTTATATTTATTAATATATTTATGTATGTTTTTATGTATATATGTATGTATAAGTAATCAAGTAGTGTGTGTGTGTGTGTGTGCACCTGTGTGTGTGTGTGTGTGCACCTGTGTGTGTGTGTGTGCGTGTGTGTGTGCGTGTGCGTGTGTGTGTGCGTGTGCGTGGGTGGGTGTGCGTGTGCGTGCGAGCGCGTACACTTGTGTTTGTTTGTGTTTGTGTGTGTTTGTTTGTGTGTGTGTGTTTGTTTGTGTGTGTGTGTTTGTTTGTGTGTGTGTGTTTGTTTGTGTGTGTGTGTTTGTTTGTGTGTGTGTGTGTGTTTGTTTGTTTGTTTGTGTGTGTGTGTTTGTTTGTTTGTTTGTGTGTGTGTGTTTGTTTGTGTGTGTGTGTGTTTGTTTGTGTGTGTGTGTGTTTGTGTGTGTGTGTGTGTGTGTGTGTGTTGTCTCTCCCTCTCCCTCTCCCTCTCCTCTCCCTCTCCCTCTCCTCTCCCTCTCCCTCTCCCTCTCCCTCTCCCTCTCCCTCTCCCTCTCCCTCTCCCTCTCCCTCTCCCTCTCCCTCTCCCTCTCCCTCTCCCTCTCCCTCTCCCTCTCCCTCTCCCTCTCCCTCTCCCTCTCCCTCTCCCTCTCCCTCTCCCTCTCCCTCTCCCTCTCCCTCTCCCTCTCCCTCTCCCTCTCCCTCTCCCTCTCCCTCTCCCTCTCCCTCTCCCTCTCCCTCTCCCTCTCCCTCTCCCTCTCCCTCTCCCTCTCCCTCTCCCTCTCCCTCTCCCTCTCCCTCTCCCTCTCCCTCTCCCTCTCCCTCTCCCTCTCCCTCTCCCTCTCCCTCTCCCTCTCCCTCTCCCTCTCCCTCTCCCTCTCCCTCTCCCTCTCCCTCTCCCTCTCCCTCTCCCTCTCCCTCTCCCTCTCCCTCTCCCTCTCCCTCTCCCTCTCCCTCTCCCTCTCCCTCTCCCTCTCCCTCTCCCTCTCCCTCTCCCTCTCCCTCTCCCTCTCCCTCTCCCTCTCCCTCTCCCTCTCCCTCTCCCTCTCCCTCTCCCTCTCCCTCTCCCTCTCCCTCTCCCTCTCCCTCTCCCTCTCCCTCTCCCTCTCCCTCTCCCTCTCCCTCTCCCTCTCCCTCTCCCTCTCCCTCTCCCTCTCCCTCTCCCTCTCCCTCTCCCTCTCCCTCTCCCTCTCCCTCTCCCTCTCCCTCTCCCTCTCCCTCTCCCTCTCCCTCTCCCTCTCCCTCTCCCTCTCCCTCTCCCTCTCCCTCTCCCTCTCCCTCTCCCTCTCCCTCTCCCTCTCCCTCTCCCTCTCCCTCTCCCTCTCCCTCTCCCTCTCCCTCTCCCTCTCCCTCTCCCTCTCCCTCTCCCTCTCCCTCTCCCTCTCCCTCTCCCTCTCCCTCTCCCTCTCCCTCTCCCTCTCCCTCTCCCTCTCCCTCTCCCTCTCCCTCTCCCTCTCCCTCTCCCTCTCCCTCTCCCTCTCCCTCTCCCTCTCCCTCTCCCTCTCCCTCTCCCTCTCCCTCTCCCTCTCCCTCTCCCTCTCCCTCTCCCTCTCCCTCTCCCTCTCCCTCTCCCTCTCCCTCTCCCTCTCCCTCTCCCTCTCCCTCTCCCTCTCCCTCTCCCTCTCCCTCTCCCTCTCCCTCTCCCTCTCCCTCTCCCTCTCCCTCTCCCTCTCCCTCTCCCTCTCCCTCTCCCTCTCCCTCTCCCTCTCCCTCTCCCTCTCCCTCTCCCTCTCCCTCTCCCTCTCCCTCTCCCTCTCCCTCTCCCTCTCCCTCTCCCTCTCCCTCTCCCTCTCCCTCTCCCTCTCCCTCTCCCTCTCCCTCTCCCTCTCCCTCTCCCTCTCCCTCTCCCTCTCCCTCTCCCTCTCCCTCTCCCTCTCCCTCTCCCTCTCCCTCTCCCTCTCCCTCTCCCTCTCCCTCTCCCTCTCCCTCTCCCTCTCCCTCTCCCTCTCCCTCTCCCTCTCCCTCTCCCTCTCCCTCTCCCTCTCCCTCTCCCTCTCCCTCTCCCTCTCCCTCTCCCTCTCCCTCTCCCTCTCCCTCTCCCTCTCCCTCTCCCTCTCCCTCTCCCTCTCCCTCTCCCTCTCCCTCTCCCTCTCCCTCTCCCTCTCCCTCTCCCTCTCCCTCTCCCTCTCCCTCTCCCTCTCCCTCTCCCTCTCCCTCTCCCTCTCCCTCTCCCTCTCCCTCTCCCTCTCCCTCTCCCTCTCCCTCTCCCTCTCCCTCTCCCTCTCCCTCTCCCTCTCCCTCTCCCTCTCCCTCTCCCTCTCCCTCTCCCTCTCCCTCTCCCTCTCCCTCTCCCTCTCCCTCTCCCTCTCCCTCTCCCTCTCCCTCTCCCTCTCCCTCTCCCTCTCCCTCTCCCTCTCCCTCTCCCTCTCCCTCTCCCTCTCCCTCTCCCTCTCCCTCTCCCTCTCCCTCTCCCTCTCCCTCTCCCTCTCCCTCTCCCTCTCCCTCTCCCTCTCCCTCTCCCTCTCCCTCTCCCTCTCCCTCTCCCTCTCCCTCTCCCTCTCCCTCTCCCTCTCCCTCTCCCTCTCCCTCTCCCTCTCCCTCTCCCTCTCCCTCTCCCTCTCCCTCTCCCTCTCCCTCTCCCTCTCCCTCTCCCTCTCCCTCTCCCTCTCCCTCTCCCTCTCCCTCTCCCTCTCCCTCTCCCTCTCCCTCTCCCTCTCCCTCTCCCTCTCCCTCTCCCTCTCCCTCTCCCTCTCCCTCTCCCTCTCCCTCTCCCTCTCCCTCTCCCTCTCCCTCTCCCTCTCCCTCTCCCTCTCCCTCTCCCTCTCCCTCTCCCTCTCCCTCTCCCTCTCCCTCTCCCTCTCCCTCTCCCTCTCCCTCTCCCTCTCCCTCTCCCTCTCCCTCTCCCTCTCCCTCTCCCTCTCCCTCTCCCTCTCCCTCTCCCTCTCCCTCTCCCTCTCCCTCTCCCTCTCCCTCTCCCTCTCCCTCTCCCTCTCCCTCTCCCTCTCCCTCTCCCTCTCCCTCTCCCTCTCCCTCTCCCTCTCCCTCTCCCTCTCCCTCTCCCTCTCCCTCTCCCTCTCCCTCTCCCTCTCCCTCTCCCTCTCCCTCTCCCTCTCCCTCTCCCTCTCCCTCTCCCTCTCCCTCTCCCTCTCCCTCTCCCTCTCCCTCTCCCTCTCCCTCTCCCTCTCCCTCTCCCTCTCCCTCTCCCTCTCCCTCTCCCTCTCCCTCTCCCTCTCCCTCCTCCCCTCCATTTGATTTAGATACATTTTTGAAAGGGGTTGTTCGGAGGGGGGGAAGAGAATTATTTTTGTGATTGAAAAAAATATATATAAACTCAGCATCAAATGAGGTAATGGAGATTGATAGGTTTGATATTAATCTACTGATAACAGAAGGTTGTTACAGGTGAGAGATAAAAAGAACCAAATTAGGGAATGTCCATCATTATTGTATAATATGATATTGTAGAACAGCTTTTTCAATGAGAAAAGCTTGTGTATATATTTTGTAAAAATCGTATATGGCCAAATAGTTTGATTATATTTTTTAGTCAAATTGGTATACAGAAATGTTAAGACCATGAATAAAAGATACTTAGAAAACACTTAGGTAAATGCATATATCAAGAATACACGTATACTTCCTTATGTGCATACAAACACATGTACCTCATGTGTGCGTGTATGTATGCATGCATATGTGCACATGTGTATATATGTATCTATGCATATAGAAAATCAGACATGAGGCTTAAACTATTACAGAGCAAACCTTGCTAGAAAACAGAGGATGCTCTTCCTCACTTGCTACCAATATACCCGGACCTTTAAACACCACACCCACTCTCCTAATCGCCTCTCACTCACTCACTCACTCACTCACTCAACGCACTCACACATTTCTTCTTCTTTTGCAGTGCGGCCAACAGCTGCCCCACATCGCCCCGCGGAGGCCATGGAGGGCTCGGTGGACTCGGGGGCAACAAACGTGTCAATGCCGAGAACCTGGTCCAGGCGGCCTACGCTGCCATGGAAGACAAAGGTGACATTGCAAATACAGGTTGGTAGTGGTTCTGGGTTCAGGGGTCAGAGTCGGAGAGGATTGTAGTAATATGGATATATAGATTAAAGTTGATATGGATTTAGGTGGGGGGGGGGATTATTTCCTCACTCCCCTCCATTTGATTTAGATACATTTTTGAAAGGGGTTGTTCGGAGGGGGGGAAGAGAATTATTTTTGTGATTGAAATAAACAGTTAAGACTATAGGGTTGATAGAGGATTGATCAGACGTAGAGTTGTTCAGTTTGTTTTTACTGGATATTGTAAAGTGTTTTAAAGATTTCTCTGAGATGAACTTAGTTTTCAATGTTAATTGTTATAGTTATTAAGATAATAGTGTCTACTTTTTATTATTATTATTATTATTAATCATAATTATGTATTTCGTTGCTTACCCTCATGATATTTGGATGTAAGCCTAAGTAAGCCTGCTATTCTCCCAGTTACAGTTTCAACAACTCACGAAGAGAATCAGATGAACTTGTCTGTGTCCAGCCAAAATTACCACCACAATGGCATCCAGGCATCCATAGCGGACGACAGCTACTTCACGTCGCCCCATCCGCCTGACCAGCCCCACAGTCCACCTGGTGCCAAGGTGAGAATTTCTCTCCAGCTTTCATCGTCGTCTTTGTGGTCGGCTTATTTTTCCTTTTGTCTTCCTGTTCATGTTCGGTTTTATCTTCGGCTTTGCCTGATCTTTGTCTCCAGAGGTGTTCTTCATTATTGATGTTTTTGTTATTGTTTTTTGTCTCTCTATTGTTTTCGTTTGTCTTCATTAAGGCTTGATTTCATATTTCTTCTCTTTCTTATCCCTGTTTTGTGGTGCGTCAAAATACAGGCCATATACTATCTGCATTTGTGCATGGTTTGATAAAACAGCTGGGTAAAAGTTTGGATTAAAGGAGGAATTTTTTACTTTTTATACATAGGGAGGATGTATTAAGACATAGTAGTAGTTTTATTGTTTTAGAAACTTAAAAATCACAGAATAGTCTTATAACAAAAAAATTATATACAGTCATACATACACAGGAAGTGGAAACAAGGACATGAGCCCAGCCGAACTCTTGACAACCTGTGGAATGTGTTGAAATGTGAATTGCACAGTCAGAGTATTGGATAGCAATTGATGATTAGCTAAAAGTCCCTTGAAAATGTTGATTTGTTTGTCATGAAAAATGTAGCGGGGTTTCCAGGCAAGAGGGCATGCAATAGATTATTAGATTTTTAAAAAGTACATGTTGAACAGTGGTTTGTAGTCCATTCAAATCTAACTTTTGTCATGACTACATGGTTGAACAGAAAACACCAAAGTTTTGCTTCAATATGTTTTTTTTTTGTATGTCTGTTTGTATTTGACATTGGAAAAATAATATTTTGTGATTATTTTATGACAAAACAAATTACAAGGGATGTATGATGAAAAAAATGCATTGATTTTCTTTTCACCTTCAAAAGGTTTTGTATCAGACAGTGTTAGTTATTGTATTCTCACACATTTTTTCTTTTTTATTATCACAGGATGACTCCAAACCACCATATTCGTATGCTCAGCTGATTGTCCAAGCTATTTCTTCAGCTCCAGACAAGCAGCTGACGTTAAGTGGTATCTATTCATACATCACCAAACATTACCCTTATTATCGTACTGCTGACAAGGGATGGCAGGTAAGGGGCGAGGAGTAATAGTGTATGATCATTCAATCATCATCATTCAATCGTCATCATCACTCAATCATCATCATTATTCAATCATCATCATTATTCAATCATCATCATCACTCAATCATCATCATTATTCAATCATCATCATTATTCAATCATCATCATCACTCAATCATCATCATCACTCAATCATCATCAGTACTCAATCATCATCATAGGAAATGGTTCCATTTGTCATGTGGAGATTTTCAAATAAAATAGTTTTTAGTTATCTATATTTAGAATGGAATGTAATGGCAGAATTGTGTGTTATTGACTAAGTTTGTATAAGTAAAATCTTACTTAATGAAAAATCAGATGGAGCAGTAATGAAACTAGAACTCACAGAGGCACATCTAACCACAGCAGTTTCTTAACTAATCGTATTCTCTCTACCCTCTTTTCTCCCCCTCTCTCTCTGTTACCAGAACTCCATCCGGCATAACCTGTCACTAAACAGATACTTTGTCAAAGTGCCACGGTCTCAAGAGGAGCCGGGGAAGGGCAGCTTCTGGAAGATAGACCCCGCGTCCGAGAGTAAACTAGTAGACCAGGCATTTAAGCGACGGCGCCAGAGAGGTGTTCCTATTTTCAAGACACCCTTCACACACCTTTCCAATAGGTTTGTGGGATATTATGTTTTTTGTTGTGGGGCGACTTGCAAAGAGGAACAGATATAAGCACGGGAGGTTTATATAAAAAAAAAAAAAAAAAAAAAAAAAAAAAAAAAAAAAAAAAAAAAAAAAAAAAAAAAAAAAAAAAAAAAAAAAAAAAAAAAAAAAAAAAAAAAAAAAAAAAAAAAAAAAAAAAAAAAAAAAAAAAAAAAAAAAAAAAAAAAAAAAAAAAAAAAAAAAAAAAAAAAAAAAAAAAAAAAAAAAAAAAAAAAAAAAAAAAAAAAAAAAAAAAAAAAAAAAAAAAAAAAAAAAAAAAAAAAAAAAAAAAAAAAAAAAAAAAAAAAAAAAAAAAAAAAAAAAAAAAAAAAAAAAAAAAAAAAAAAAAAAAAAAAAAAAAAAAAAAAAAAAAAAAAAAAAAAAAAAAAAAAAAAAAAAAAAAAAAAAAAAAAAAAAAAAAAAAAAAAAAAAAAAAAAAAAAAAAAAAAAAAAAAAAAAAAAAAAAAAAAAAAAAAAAAAAAAAAAAAAAAAAAAAAAAAAAAAAAAAAAAAAAAAAAAAAAAAAAAATATATTTTAAGGAGACTGTCCACAGGGTCCATGTAGGGTTTGGGGAGGTAAAAAGAAGTTATTAACAATTTTGAGCACCTGCATGATTAAAGATTTAACCAGTGGATCATTACTTCTCACAAACAAAAACTAAGTGTAACAAGGGTGTAACCCCAAACTACTCAGCTGCTGTTGAGCAAATTTCACCCTTATCCATTTACAGGTTTGAAAATAAAATAATTTTTATATTACTTTTTGAAGTGGATCACAAGAGAGAGGTCAGTAAATAGCATATGAAAGAGAAATAAATATAGTTTTATGGTAAATAACTCAATGCTGGTTTTTTTTTGTGTGTGTGTGTGAAATATCTATAAAGTGTTTAACTACAAAGAGGGTCAATTAGTAGACAGCAGGAAAAATGTTTTTTTTTTACTAATGCTATAAATATCAATGATGTTATTTTATTATAGACATTATAATTACTGTAATGTTCAATACATTAGTAACTATAAGGAAAAGGGTAAACAGGTGAGACAGGCAGTACTTGTAATTGGCTCATTAGTGACTTGGTACAAGCAATCTGTGTGTAAAAACAAAAAAGTAAACTCGCAGTGGGAATGGCATGTACATACATACATACTGATAATGTTACTGGAAATGCATTGAAATATTCTTTTTTTCTTTTCTAAACAAAACATCTGGAGCTTCCATACTACTTTCTCCTGAAAAGAGAACAAGAGATAGACCTTCAAAAATAATGAGAATTAGATTTAGATAGAGATTTTTAAAAAAAGTTATTGCTAAGTTGCACAAATTGTTTAATAGGAGATTTTTTTGTGCATTTTGTCTTCCTTGCCAGAACCAGTCACTGATTTTGAATTCTCTCCCGCCTTTGTCCTAACAGCAGATCTGCGCCAGCCTCTCCATCACACATTGGGATGAGTGGGCTGGTTACGCCCGAGTCGCTGTCGCGAGAGGGCTCCCCGGTGCCAGAGTATGTAGACTCGGCTACTGCCTCGCCTCTCAATCCCCTTAACACGGCTGCGCAGTATGATGTAAACACCACTAGTGCGCCATCCTCGCCACCCCAGCATCAACATCAACAAGGTCAGATTGAACTTTTTGGGTTGTTTAGATTTTGTTTTCATACCGTTATGGTTTTATTAAATTTTTAACTTTTGTCAGTCCGAAGAATTTTATTGTTAGTAGTATGAATGATGAATGTATGTCTTTGAGTACTGTGTTCCACTACCAAATCAGGTTTATGAGGATTGCAGACAAAATACAAGTAGTTACTTTTCAGGATGGTTAAGAGACAAATGTGTTGTCAAATTGAAGGCAATTGATTACCTGATGGGTTGAAGCAGAGTGTAAGAAATGGTCTGTGTTATGCTTGAGAGACCCTGTATGTTGCTGGAAAATGGTGTTAAAATCTACCTTGTTGAAAAGGTATTGTCAAAAAATGAAGAGAAAACACAGTTCCTTGAAGATTTCCAGACATGGTGAATAGAGGAAAGGTTTCTTTTTCTTTCTTGTTTACTTGTTATACTGATATTAATATTTAGTTAAACTGAAATCACTTTACTGGTTATTGAAGGCATAAGCTGATAGGTAAGGAAACTTATGTTGGTCTTCAAGAATGTTTATTGCAGCAGATCTGCAGGACATTTCTAGTCACAAAACTAGGGCAGTAGAATGTGATATTCAATTAATTTATTGTATTTTAGTAATGATACATTGGTTCTGTGAAAGGGGGACATGAAATTTGTATGTATGTATGTATGTGTGGTATAGAATAAGATGTGATTGTTGTCTCAAATTTTTTTTAGTGTGTGATACTGTAAAGGTATAATGTACCCGTAAGGATATGTATTTTTGAAATTGTGCTGATGATTTGTATGAACTCTTGACATGAATTAAACCCTGTTTGCTTTTATAACCAAGGAAGCTAAAAGCAGATGCAGAAAATCACATAGCACTTACACCTGCATAATAAAGGCATAAGTGTCACAAACACCAGACAAGTGCACTGCTTATTGAAAAAGAGGAGGAGAAGGAGATGAGATGCAGACAGGAAGGTTGAAACAAGAACATTATTGGCACTGGCTAATGCTACTCACTCTCACTAACATGCTTATGGTATGGCTGATGTGGAAATTGCACAATTGCAAGGCAGAGACTCTCCCCCCCTTTTCTCCACCTCTAATTTCCTTGTCGTCCTATTATTCCTCCTCCTCCTCCTCCTCCTCCTCCTCCTCCTCCTCCTCCTCCTCCTCCTCCTCCTCCTCCTCCTCATTCTTCCCATTCCTATTCCTCCTACTCCTCCTCTTCATCCTCCATCCTCCTACCAGCTACCTTTCCCTCCCTCCCTCCTAATATTTTGTTTCTTATTACAGGTACCACATTGATAGCCACAAGTGGGGTTAGTGTTCAGAATTCCCAGCAGCTCATGTCTGCCTTACAAGGTGTGTCCATAATTCTTTGTTGAAGTGGAAATATTTTATAACACGTGAGCCCAGTCATATATATACATTTTTTTCTATTTATTTATTTATTTATTGTTTATTTATTTATTATTTTTTTCTTCTTCTAAGACCTATTATGTTGTTGAAGATGGAAAGTAAATAAAGACCTATTGGTACACTTAAAGTTATAGAAAATGCGAAATGACGGACACAGAAAGGCAGAGAAAAGATTCTTAAACGTTTAACTGTTTTGGTTGTGTTGTGTAATGATTTCCGTAGCTGCTTGTTATTTAACTTGTTTCTCCCCCGCCACACTTCTTAAGGAGAAAAAAAAAGTTTTAAAAGTTCAGATAACATCATTAAAAGATTTGATTTGGCTGTAAATATTTCTAGATGATAATCTTTAGATTTGATACTCTGTTATAGGTTTTGATGATTATAAATATTAACAGTGGCTCACTGTCGTTATTTAATTAGCCTCTGCCATCTGCAGCACGTTTCATATCATTGAAAGTTCTAAAGCAGACAGGAGAAGCTAACATACATTGAAACCCACTCTCTGGCACGCAGTATAAAAGGCGACTATTTTTGTCCTCTGAATTCATACCCAGATTATATATTCTCTCATCTCTCTTTCTCCTTGCTCTTCATCTCCCTCTTTCTCTCTCCTTGTTTGCTTGCCTTCCCTTTCATCACACGCTCCTCCTCAATGCATTGGTGTCTAGGGTGCATATACTAACCAGCTTGTAGTAACTCACACAAGTATCATCTTTAGCTTTAAACACAGTTTCTTAGTTTCTCATTTACAATTTTTTGTGGATATTGCTTTTTTTTTTATAAATGTACATTTCAGTGAAAGATTTTTTTTATGAATCATACATGTATAGTATAGTATAGTATAGTATAGTATAGTATAGTATAGTATAGTGTGTGTGTGTGTGTGTGTGTGTGCGTGTGCGTGTGCGTGTGCGTGTGCGTGTGCGTGTGCGTGTGCGTGTGCGTGTGCGTGTGCGTGTGCGTGTGCGTGTGCGTGTGCGTGTGCGTGTGCGTGTGCGTGTGCGTGTGCGTGTGCGTGTGCGTGTGCGTGTGCGTGTGCGTGTGCGTGTGCGTGTGCGTGTGCGTGTGCGTGTGCGTGTGCGTGTGCGTGTGCGTGTGCGTGTGCGTGTGCGTGTGCGTGTGCGTGTGCGTGTGCGTGTGCGTGTGCGTGTGCGTGTGCGTGTGCGTGTGCGTGTGCGTGTGCGTGTGCGTGTGCGTGTGCGTGTGCGTGTGCGTGTGCGTGTGCGTGTGCGTGTGCGTGTGCGTGTGCGTGTGCGTGTGCGTGTGCGTGTGCGTGTGCGTGTGCGTGTGCGTGTGCGTGTGCGTGTGCGTGTGCGTGTGCGTGTGCGTGTGCGTGTGCGTGTGCGTGTGCGTGTGCGTGTGCGTGTGCGTGTGCGTGTGCGTGTGCGTGTGCGTGTGCGTGTGCGTGTGCGTGTGCGTGTGCGTGTGCGTGTGCGTGTGCGTGTGCGTGTGCGTGTGCGTGTGCGTGTGCGTGTGCGTGTGCGTGTGCGTGTGCGTGTGCGTGTGCGTGTGCGTGTGCGTGTGCGTGTGCGTGTGCGTGTGCGTGTGCGTGTGCGTGTGCGTGTGCGTGTGCGTGTGCGTGTGCGTGTGCGTGTGCGTGTGCGTGTGCGTGTGCGTGTGCGTGTGCGTGTGCGTGTGCGTGTGCGTGTGCGTGTGCGTGTGCGTGTGCGTGTGCGTGTGCGTGTGCGTGTGCGTGTGCGTGTGCGTGTGCGTGTGCGTGTGCGTGTGCGTGTGCGTGTGCGTGTGCGTGTGCGTGTGCGTGTGCGTGTGCGTGTGCGTGTGCGTGTGCGTGTGCGTGTGCGTGTGCGTGTGCGTGTGCGTGTGCGTGTGCGTGTGCGTGTGCGTGTGCGTGTGCGTGTGCGTGTGCGTGTGCGTGTGCGTGTGCGTGTGCGTGTGCGTGTGCGTGTGCGTGTGCGTGTGCGTGTGCGTGTGCGTGTGCGTGTGCGTGTGCGTGTGCGTGTGCGTGTGCGTGTGCGTGTGCGTGTGCGTGTGCGTGTGCGTGTGCGTGTGCGTGTGCGTGTGCGTGTGCGTGTGCGTGTGCGTGTGCGTGTGCGTGTGCGTGTGCGTGTGCGTGTGCGTGTGCGTGTGCGTGTGCGTGTGCGTGTGCGTGTGCGTGTGCGTGTGCGTGTGCGTGTGCGTGTGCGTGTGCGTGTGCGTGTGCGTGTGCGTGTGCGTGTGCGTGTGCGTGTGCGTGTGCGTGTGCGTGTGCGTGTGCGTGTGCGTGTGCGTGTGCGTGTGCGTGTGCGTGTGCGTGTGCGTGTGCGTGTGCGTGTGCGTGTGCGTGTGCGTGTGCGTGTGCGTGTGCGTGTGCGTGTGCGTGTGCGTGTGCGTGTGCGTGTGCGTGTGCGTGTGCGTGTGCGTGTGCGTGTGCGTGTGCGTGTGCGTGTGCGTGTGCGTGTGCGTGTGCGTGTGCGTGTGCGTGTGCGTGTGCGTGTGCGTGTGCGTGTGCGTGTGCGTGTGCGTGTGCGTGTGCGTGTGCGTGTGCGTGTGCGTGTGCGTGTGCGTGTGCGTGTGCGTGTGCGTGTGCGTGTGCGTGTGCGTGTGCGTGTGCGTGTGCGTGTGCGTGTGCGTGTGCGTGTGCGTGTGCGTGTGCGTGTGCGTGTGCGTGTGCGTGTGCGTGTGCGTGTGCGTGTGCGTGTGCGTGTGCGTGTGCGTGTGCGTGTGCGTGTGCGTGTGCGTGTGCGTGTGCGTGTGCGTGTGCGTGTGCGTGTGCGTGTGCGTGTGCGTGTGCGTGTGCGTGTGCGTGTGCGTGTGCGTGTGCGTGTGCGTGTGCGTGTGCGTGTGCGTGTGCGTGTGCGTGTGCGTGTGCGTGTGCGTGTGCGTGTGCGTGTGCGTGTGCGTGTGCGTGTGCGTGTGCGTGTGCGTGTGCGTGTGCGTGTGCGTGTGCGTGTGCGTGTGCGTGTGCGTGTGCGTGTGCGTGTGCGTGTGCGTGTGCGTGTGCGTGTGCGTGTGCGTGTGCGTGTGCGTGTGCGTGTGCGTGTGCGTGTGCGTGTGCGTGTGCGTGTGCGTGTGCGTGTGCGTGTGCGTGTGCGTGTGCGTGTGCGTGTGCGTGTGCGTGTGCACTGTATATTCATCTGTCAATAGTACCAAAGTAATGAGCTTGCCAAACACTGGTATTACTTACATAGTCTCTCCCACCCCCTCCTAAATGTTGTTAGTATTTTTATTGAGAAGAAATATAAATTATAGTTACTTGGAATGTACTCCGAGGATGGGCTTTTCCCATGCTACATTCATTCTTACGTTAGACCCAGTGGGCTGCTTGAGGGGAAAGTAGGAGCACAGGTAACACATTTTCAAGGGAATGAGGCAAAAAAAGACTAAACCTACTTTTGAGTCCAGTCCATGATATTAGTGAAGATTATATATGTAGAACTTCAAAATTGAATTTTCCCCCCCTCCCTTTTCTTTTTCTTTCTTTCTTTCTTCATAGACAAAAAAAAAAAACAGCCCAAAAATAATTATGAATTCAAAGTATTCTTTATATACATATATTTGTTGCATTAATACAAGGAAACCTGGATATTGTTTGGCATTTTCTTCTCAACTCTGGATCTTCTATTTTATTACCCAGTCTTAGGAAGCATGTTACTTCAGCATGCATGGTTTACTTATATAATATTGTTTATTAATTTCTCTTCACTTGATACCTACCATAATAAATATTCATATCCATACCTTAAAAAGTGTTACATATCTAAGGGGAACTGATCTCATTTTCCTCTCTGTGCTCATCTAGGCAAGTACCTGATAGCCACAGCAGGAGGACCGAGTGGAGCAGGGTCTGGCAAGCAGGGAGAACTGAAACAGATCCAGTTGACAAGTGGAAGCCACAGTGGTGAGGGAGCCTCCTTCGCCCAGGGCCAAGTCATTGTTCAGACGTCGGCTGACCCAAGCTCTTTCACACACACTCAGGTTATCCTCCCTACGCATCTCACAAAATATGGGTAAGTTGGACATAGCATAAGGTAAAAGAGTCTAAGCTGTAAAACTAAAAGCTTGCGCTAGTCAGCTGAGTACGAGATTGGAGGTTTGCTTGGAATATGAGCAGTACCATAGAAGTTGATGCAAGTAGTTACTTGTCCACTTGTGTATACTGACTGCATGGCTAGCATGGCTCCATGCTACTCTAGATTGGGATTAGGTCCTTTGTTGTATGTTTAAAGGAAACATGAATATTCATATTATGTATGAGTGGTATTATTTTTAAAGTTCTTCATGATGATAAATTAAAGCTTTTGTCTGCAATTTCATGACCAAACACAAGTATTTAATTAAGTGAATGTTCTCTCATTTCAATTGATACATACCTTACTTTCTTTTCAGTAGTGGTTACGTGACGGTGAATGGAGAGGTAAAACGAGTGAGCACAGCAACCACTGGACACACAGTGACTGGAACGAGTAATATGAGAAATAGTAGTACTAGCACAGGAACTGCAGTCATGGTAGGAACTGTGACTGCTGCCCCTCATACCACAGATTATGTAGAGGAAGTAGTGGAGGCAGAGGGTGTTGTTATGGCTGCCCCTCAAGACGAGCCTCTTTCGAAACGCCCAAGGGTGGATGTGGACGAGTCTCCGTACGAAGATGAATAGATTGTCATTGCTAAACCACTGAACCTAGTGGGCGGTGGTGGCCAGCAAGGAAACAAAGCAGTAACTGCTCTCATGCCAGTTAAGTAGTGGTGGTCTCTGTGCAAGTAAAACAGGTTCAACTCAGGTGGACAGGAGCTGTAGGATGGCTGTCTGACGCTGCGTTAGCCCGAGTTGTGTATTTGAGAAAAGATTTCCAACTCTCAGTTTTTAAAAGAACACATCTGTGCTGTTTTTAGTGGCACAGAAGTTTGTTTTTCTTCAGGGATTAATAATAAAAAAAAAAAGATGTAGCCTGTTTTCTAGACAGACCAATAAAAGGCATCTGGTATGGTGTAAAGACTCAATGATGTGCACAGTGGATAATATTGTAGTGCCTGTTTTTTGCCATAATGTGACAACTGATGGCAGGTAGGCCATATAAAAAATAGTGGACATCAGTTTGACAAGTTGTCTGTAATCACAGCGATAGAAAGGAGACTCGGCAGAACTCCAAAGCATCTGCTGTGCCTAGGTGTAAGTGTGTCACACCGCAAGACTAATGTCATGTACCTGATGGGATTATGGAGGTTGCATATGAGGCAACTTTTGCAAATTTGTGAAGTGTCTGGATGAGAAGTTAATGCCCATTAGTTACTCAGAAGTAGTTTACAGACTGTTAAGTGATGTTTTTTGCCAAGTGCTTTTTTAAGTTCAGAAGAAAGTGACAACCATATTTGATCATGATGACTTTGCTTGCATGTACACATTATTACTTGGCTTTTCTTCATGTATACAAGAGATTTCTTTTTAATCGACTTGTTTAACATGTATTAAATGTATAAATTGATGATGTGAATGCTTTAAAATAGAGCATAGCCATATTAAATGTCAATATTTAGTTATTTTTGTGAAAGGATTGGCCTCCCAGTCTCACTGCAGTGTATGATACACTGGGATGTATGGGAAAATTATTATTTTCCCTAATATAGTGCAGTACAAGTTTTTAGGTGATGTAAAGTATTCTTTTTTGTGAATAGTATTAATATGAAAAAATAACAAAACAAAACAAAACAGATGATTATAGGGGAGTGTTCAGCATGGGCTATGTGGAGAAATTAATTGTTCAAGAATTAAGTTGAAGAGTAGAGTTTTTTTTTACAACTTCAAGAAATGTGTGGGAGTTGTGAAACCCTGCCATATATGTACAGTATCAGAATGTTTAGATCTGCTAATAGTAGCAGAGGATATGTTTCCCTATTGTAGTATCAACTTTGTACTAAAATGAAGAATAGCATAGTTTAAGTCAGAAGAACTCCCATATTTTTCTTTAATGTTTGAGAGGCTACAAATGATGTGTAAATGGTTATAGTACTATATCTGTATGGAGAGGGACAGTGTTATAGTAAGAGAGCATGTTGGAACACTTCCTTTCCTTTCATGTACATAAAGAGAACAAATGTAGAACTCTAGATTTTTTTCAGAATTAACATCTCATTAAAATGTTAGCTCCTGAAAGGGGAAATATTTATTTTTTTTGATTATCTTCTCCTGATGATGCTAGATTAATTCCAGCCTTTCACTGCGAAGGAATTACACAGGTGTTTTTTATTATCCAAAATCAATAGCAGGTTCTACAAAGGCCTACAAGGAAAGGTGAGTGATTACGGTCCAAAATCAGAGGTAATTGTAAATAATCACAACCAACTAATAAAGCTTAATAAAAGGAGTAAACTTTGGTTTGGAAAGAAAAGGAAAAGAATGGTTAGCTTGTTGACCTTAAAAGCTAGTTTTTTTGTTTTTAATTTTTGTGAGTTTAATGAGACATGCAAACATACATATTCAGGTAACTTAAAAAAGAGGATATTTATTGTGTTAAGTTAAATAGCCAAATTATTATTATTATTATTTTTTTTTTCTTTGTATCAGAAACCTAAGACTTGTTCCTTCAGTAACAGGCAGTGTTACTTTTATGTATAGTAAATAAATTTGGTGCCCATAAATTATGAATGAAAGGATTACTCTAAAACTTACCAATCTTTTATCCTTTGCCAGAAAATGTTTCCCCCCCTTTTTTTTCTTCTTTCTTAAAAATTTGTGTGCACTTTTCAAGTGAGCAGAAATTACCCAAAACATGAAAAATCCTGGTGGAACATCCTCTCTCTGGCAAGGCAAGTTATTACACAGTGAGTGTTAAATAGGGACTGCAAAATTATGAATCAGGGTCCTATATTAATTGTATTGTTCTAAATATGTACTTATGAATATAAGTGAATATTTGGTTATCAACGTTCTTTGTGTCATGTGACAAATGATTGTGAAACACAAATTGTTTTTATCTGTTCCCAGTTCTTTCAGTTCTTATCCGTTAGACCAATGCCCGTATTTGCTTCATGCTTTTGGTATTTCACTTACCAAGTGTAGCCAAGTATTGCAATTCCTAAATGCTAGCCAGTTTTGTCTTGCTTATTAATGAATGATAAGGTCATTTTGTCATCAGTCCTCAAATTTTGTTTTCATAAAAAACAAAGGCAAGTAATTGGCAGTCAGTGTATTGAAAGGAAATTTAAGTGTGTTTGGTTATGTGTGCTTACATATATATAAGAATATATATTATAATTATGATTTTTTTTTTCTTCTTTCTTAAAAATTTGTGTGCACTTTTCAAGTGAGCAGAAATTACCCAAAACATGAAAAATCCTGGTGGAACATCCTCTCTCTGGCAAGGCAAGTTATTACACAGTGAGTGTTAAATAGGGACTGCAAAATTATGAATCAGGGTCCTATATTAATTGTATTGTTCTAAATATGTACTTATGAATATAAAGTGAATATTTGGTTATCAAGAGTCGATTCAAGTAGTTGAAAATTGTTCTGGCTCCACAACCAATATTTTGACAATCTTCTGTTGTGTGTTGAAACTGTTCCTCTCAAGAAACACTCCAGTTTTTCTTGTATTCTTTGATGTCCTGTGATAGAAAGAATTAGTATAGCCGGTTATCATACGTTCTTTGTGTCATGTGACAAATGATTGTGAAACACAAATTGTTTTTATCTGTTCCCAGTTCTTTCAGTTCTTATCCGTTAGACCAATGCCCGTATTTGCTTCATGCTTTTGGTATTTCACTTACCAAGTGTAGCCAAGTATTGCAATTCCTAAATGCTAGCCAGTTTTGTCTTGCTTATTAATGAATGATAAGGTCATTTTGTCATCAGTCCTCAAATTTTGTTTTCATAAAAAACAAAGGCAAGTAATTGGCAGTCAGTGTATTGAAAGGAAATTTAAGTGTGTTTGGTTATGTGTGCTTACATATATATAAGAATATATATTATAATTATGATTTTTTTTTTCTTCTTTTTATAAAAATGCTGTGAAACTGTTCTTAGATGAGGCAATAACTTTGGAGTGCTGATGGAGTGTGAGGAGTGTGTGCCCCAGCTTTACCCACTGTTAAGTTTTAGAAAATAGGACTCTTGTCTTGTCTCCGCTTGGATCTAAGCAGACGAGACCAACACTACAGTTCAACTATCTGAAATGTATATCGTGTCTTGACCCACTAGTAGTAACTTGAAAAGTAACAGATAGTAAAAAAAAAAATAAAATAAAAAAAAAAGATTGTTTATCTGCATATTTATGGAGGATTACAATAGGCAGGAGGCAAATAAACTCTATACCAAATGGTGGTGCCAAGCATACCCTTGAGGTGACTAACTCTACAGTTGTTTATTAAACTGTAATAGAATACTGGTCTGTCCAAGGGAATATTAGTTTATTAAACATTAAAGGGTAGTACTCTTGATAAATACTCAAGTTTTTTGATGGGTTTTAAGAGGTACAAATTCCTTTGTAATAACTGTTAACAGTATACTGATTAAGTGCTAGCTGCAAGCTCATGTAAGTACTTAGGCAGTATTTTTGAAGACATTTACAATGAAGCCTACAAGGTTAATGCAAGATCATCATCTAACTTGTGTATTTCATGATCATCTGCCCAAGAAAAAAAGAAAAAAAATGAAAAGGTCATCCAGGATGACAATGGATAGAGACAAAAGTCTCGGCTCCTCTTTATTAATGGCTTCCCCAACCTTTAAATGCTCCTGACATTCAGGAGTAACTTCCTACCCTCCTCCCTTCCCCTCCATTACTTTTTGCGACCAACCCACAAACTCTACCCTGCCTTGATATCATAGTGATTCGTATGTACAACTAATAGAAGCAGAGTGAAAATAAACCTATTAACTCAGATGATGCAGTTTCATTGGTAAAACCAACTTCATTTCATTCATCTAGAATTCATTAACAAAGAAAGGTCAATGAAAAAGCCTCTTGTACATAAAATTATTTATTGTACACAACAAATATTCATTTATAATTTAAAATACCTTGTTTAAAGCCAATTTCCTTTTTAACAAGTGCTCTGCTAAAATTGTCAGAACTTGTGCAATGTAAAAGAAGAAAAATGTGGCTCAAACATTCTATCAAATAAAATTAAATAAAGAATAGTTTACAAAAAAAAAAGGAAGACTAGTAGGACCTTAAGCACATGTAATGAAAGCAGTTTGGAAGGCACTCACTACCACACAACAGAGACCATCTAAACTAAGCAGATGTGCCTCTTTCTCTCTCTGTCAATCTGTTTACTCGCGTGTTGTCTTGAACTCTCCCCAGCCATGGAAGCATCGGGTAAACTTCTTTGATTCTTTCCCCTTAAATGTACACAGCAGTTTTCTGGGCAGTTCTGGTTGCTTCACTCTCAAGTTCTGCACATATACCTGAGGGGAAAAAAGAAATATGTGGATAAATGGTAGAAACATCAAAATGGTTTAAGGGGAAGGGTGAGAGGAGGGGAGTAGAGATGTAAAAGAATACTGGCTACCTTGGATATTTCCTTTCACTGTCTCATTCAGAAAATAAAATAGTCTGCATGGCATAACTGGGCCAAAAAACTGTCAGAAAATAGTTTGCATGGCATAACTGGGCCACAAAGCAATGTTAACTGAAAATCTATCTGCTGGGTTTTTACATTGTTTACATAAAAGAGTAAGACACAAAAATTTATTTACATAATTAATTCACAAAAAAATGTGTTGTTTATGCTGTAATTAAAGGATTATTAATTATGTATTTTTTATTTGACATGCTCTGAGAGTACCTCATCATCAAACATGTAACCTTGATTGCAAAATGCACACATTTCTTACTGTACAAGTTCTTGTTCAATGCCCTGTTTGCACTCGTCTTCATTTACAGATCAAAAACAAAACTAACTGGCTGGTCATGGAGAAAAAAAATCTACCTTCAAGAGACTCGGAAGTGAACAACATGCACTGCAGAATCTCTCAATGTGAATATCAATTCAAATTTAACAACAAAGACACCCATTTGGCAGTTATAGAAATTGTCAATATACTGTAAATATCAGAAGTCTCTTGCAGCCAATAAATATATTCAGTTTAACAAACAGGGTGTTAGGTGCCTTTCCTACAGGACAAGAAACTGACTGTTTTTGTTTGCTACTTTCACAAGAGGACTGCTAGCTTTTTGAAAAGAAACATTGTAAACTAATGATAATCTATATAATTTAAGAATGATATTGCAGGAGAACTGTCCAATGTTTTGTTGTAATCTACGGACTGCTCATTGAAACCAACAAAACTATACTTTTCAAGGCTGGCAGCCTTGGGTGAATCAATTCTTCCCTAAAGACTAACCCTTGCTGATTACATTGTAGGCCTGTGTGTGTGACCTTGAATGTCGAGTATACTTAAAGCAATACATTTTCTTCAACTTTTCAGTTTGAATCTGGTGTTACAAGAAAACGGACATAGTATTTTAAAATAACCTGCATGAAATAATTACATACTCATTCACTCCTGTCTCAACACCTATTTGAATAAGCAACCTTTGCAATAAGTGTATTTAAAGCCTAGTTCCTATTAAAAATTAACAGCAAAAATAATTGCTTGGAAATTACATAAAGTATAGCAGTAATGTTTAAAGAAAAAAAAAAGCATCATGTATAGACACTGAGTATAATTAATATGCTAAAATAAAGACAATCACTGTAAATGAAATATATGAAATGTATGCCAGTGACCAACTACATCACAATGTCATATAAGTATCACTATATACCTTTAATAACCATATCTCCAGAAATGTGTAAGACAATGGTTATTAACCCACAGACTGTGGATGGCATGATTTACATCCATGTCCACTAACATTTTAGTCTATTAATTGTATTTACAGAGATGGCTCCACAAGTACTTAATCACCAAAGAGTAGATTATTAATCCTCACTGCCTCGCCCTGTTTACTCTTTTCCTTGATTATTGGGGGGGGAAAAAAAAACTTTCATTTTTACAGTGCTTAGTTATCAACACTTATAAAGACCATTAGAAATGTTGATACTGAACTAAAAATTCAAGGAAGAGGGAAATCAGGTGAGGCCACTTCTTGGTCACTGAGTACTTGAGAGAACCATATGTGTAAAACAAAATTCATTAAAAGCTACTTTGGACAGTAAATGTATCTGTGACCATCTACACATTCAGGCAATTAAATGTTATTTAGAAAACATCAAACTGAGCTTGTCTCAAAGGCCACCATTACTGCTACTGCAAATCCTAAGAAACCTAAACAGAGAACCACTGTTATTAAGCAGAAAATCACTCCTACATATCAAATTTAACCAAGTTTAAATTCTCAAATGTCTATATCTTCATATGTTAGCAAAATCAAGGCATTTAATATCATTACCTTTCATTTAACGAATAAACCCCAGAAACCTCTGTGGTTTCAGTGGTCACTGTCATACATGAATTAAGATCTGCCACATACTGAAAAGTCTACAAGCACCTGATGATGTACGCAAGATATTTCATAATGCTTGTAAAGATGCACCTTCCAAAAAGATTAGAAACAAGAC